AAATCCCGCGATCGTACGAGAATCGTACGTCTCTACTGTACGGTCGCACATCTTCCGTCGAACCAGCAGGCTAGAAAACCTGCCGGGAATCGTACGATTCTCGGCGAGTTAGTGGCCTGCTGGTTCGACAACTGCCGAACGGGCCGGTGTGCGCATGCGCACACAGCCCGTTTGCAGTCATCGTAAGCCCGCCCCTCATTGCAGTCATCGTAAGCCCGCCTCTCAGGGGGGCGGGCTTGCGATGATCGCAAGTACGATCTGCCTGTCCAAGATGGGCAGATCGTACGATTTTTTAAGTACTTTACAACCCTCGCAAGACAAAAGTCTTGCGAGGGTTGTAAAGTGTATGGGCACCTTCACATTGTGTCCTCTTTAAAAAAAACAGTAGAAATGCCTGTCCCCTGGCAGCTGCCTCAGAGTTAGATCCTTGCTCTCTGTATGGAAGCAGTGATATCGGGAAGCGTGGGCTTTGCAGATTGCAAAGCTTTAGGTCTGACTCAGTAGGAGGCATGTGTAACCTCTACAGAGAGACCTCTGCTTCCTCAAGGGGTCTCACTTTGCCGTATGCTGGCAGAGGACAGGCTTTTCTACTCAGATTGTAGGTGCTTTAGAAAGAAAATAAGCTATAAGACATTGAACACAGTTTGCTCTGATGCACCTGGAATTAGCAGTTTAAAATGAAGGTTCATCTGAGCTAAGAGCAATGGCAAACTATTTAAATACACCAACACTTAATTAAACATAATGCTATTTTTTTAATCCAATGTATTGTTTATTCAGGGTGTTTATTGTTTTATCAAAACAATTAACCCCATTAAAAACACAGTGACACAAAAATGCAGCATCTCAAATGGTAGGTTAACATGGATACCACTGCAGTCACTCTAAAAATGTTCCCTACACAGATGTCAACACTTCTATAAATGATTAGATATTCAACAGCTCCAAAGGCAACCTAAGGTCCAGCAATCACCTGATTCCCTTCATGCAGTTTCCTATCCGATTCCTAATAAGCCAGGCCAGATCATAAGCTACACCCTGTTGAAGTGGACCTTTACCACCTTTCACTAAAATTCACATCAGAATCAGGGGTGGATCCAGAGTCTAGTCTTGGGGGGGCACCCCTTTCCACTCTCACTGTCACCAGTCAGCATGACCGGACTATAGCCTTGCAATTTATGTTAAAAATGTTTGGGGACAGATAGAGCTTTCTTTTGGAGGTATATAATCACCACGGGGGAAGGGGGTTATTTTTTTACTATATAATGAAAAAAGTACCGTAAATGTAAATAAATAAATATAAATAAAGTTTCCCTACGTTCGTTTATAAAACATTTATTCTTACCCATATTTTTGGTAAAACCTAAAAGTCGGGATCACGTCGGGTAAATAGACACCAAACATGTCAAGCCTTAAAATTGCATGCGCCCACAAAATCGCAAAAAACGCCCACAGGCCCATAGGCGACACTTAAAGCGCTTTTACTGCTCATCAGGTTAGTGTTATCAGTGATTAATGGCCCTAAAATGATTGCTCTCACTCCGATGTCTGCGGTGATATGTAACATGTGCGGGAAGATAGGCTCAATCCTCGTTTTCGCACATAGGAGCACCCGACCCATATCTGTGTGTGTATGTGGGGGGCGTGGACTTAAAAAAATTGTTTTCTTTTTTAATTTTTTTATGCTTTATTTTTTTAATGATTCTTTAATTTTTGTATTACTTTTTTTTTTTTTACACACAACTTTATTGCTATTACATGGGGGGCTAAGAAGCCCCCTATGGGATAGCTAATTTACTTGACAGGTCCTCTTTATGGAGACATCAGGGGTCTCCAAGACCCCTAATGTCACCTAGGGACCCCCAGAGAAGCTGATGAAGCAGAGATGGACTTCATCAGCTTCTGTAGCTGGAGAGTGACACTGAATGCAGGAAGTGATGTAATATACATCACTTCCTGCATTCGGGGACTGAGAGAAGATCAAAGGGAGACAGTATACTGAACTCCCTTTGATCTCCTGTCACAGAGACGTGGCGGCAGTGACAGCGGCGGCTAATACAAGCGATCGGGCGTCTCTAGAGATGCCCGATAGCTTGAATGTAAAGATCCCGGAAGCCGGGACATACAGCTGTCAAGCTGTCACAGAGTTAACTGCGGTTCAGTGTAAAAAAAATGGCATATTACTTTACTGTGCCGTTTTTTTACACTGAACCGCAGTTAACTCTGTGACAGCTTGACAGCTGTATGTCCCGGCTGTGTGTGGGGATGTACTCCTGGTACGGTACTGCGGGTGGGACCGGCTCTATCTCGGGTGGGGAATTGCCCCGTTGCCCCCTCGCGGTATACTGAGACGCCGCAGCGGATCCCGACGTAGATGACGGGATCCGCCCAGCTGCTTGAGTGACAGCTAGCTCTGCCTATCTAGAGGCAGAGCCAGCTGTACCCGCCCCCTCCCCCGTCCGTTCCGCCAGTCAGCGCTGGCAGATCGGAGCGGGGAGAGGGGAATCCAGCCCCTCCCCCTGTCACGGCAGAGAGCCGTGACAGGATCGAGAGGCGAGCGAACCCGGTATGTGTTCGCTCACCTCTCGATCTACTGAGCCGACCTGTGACAGTCTCATTGTCACAGGTCGGCTAGAACTATGAGGTGAGTGAAAAGCACTTACCTCATAGTTCTCCTTTAAAAAAACACAATTTTAATTTACTTACGAATAGTTATTCATTTACTTCCTGGTCCACTTCTGACACAAATTATGTTATGTGCCAAAGTGTTGCATCCTGGGAAAGATACATCAGCAGAGCATTGCTGGGAAGTCTCATCTGTAATCCCACAAGATCTCAGGGAAAGGCATTTTTCTTCTATGAGATGATGTGCATGGTCACATGTCCTAGTCACGTGTGCCAGAGTTCCAGGAAGTAAAGGGAGCGCTAGTAACCTTAGGGATCTTAGTTAAAATGGCCTGCGGAAGAAAAAATAAATAAAGTATGCAAAGAAAAGCGAAATAAGGTCTGCAAAGAATACAAAGCCGGCAATAATCTAGAAGTATATGTTTGTAGATTGTCATTACTAAACATTTCTAAAATGTGTGTTTGCTGTTATTTTAAAGATATTGGTAAACGTCCACTTTAATATAAGAATGGAAAGATATAGGCGAGGGTATTTTAATTGGACTTTCTCTGCAATAAAGGGAAACTATTATAGTTTTGGGACAATTCAATGTATTTACTACTTACTGTATATATTATATTACTTCTATACAATTTTTGTTTTACAAAATATTTAAACTGGCACTAAATTCAGGAGTTACATTTTAAAAATGCATTCAGATACCTTAACTATTAACAATAATATATCTTATTTGTGTATCACTCGGCTGTAGATCATCATATAATCTGAGTTGATGCTGACACTGTCCTACCTTCTGGAGGGTGGCTACTTTTGTTCCCCATGGTCCCTGTGTGTGTTGTAAAGTAGCCACCGCTCCAAGCTCACTCCTGTGATGGACTATAATTTCAATACAAATCAGTCAAATAAACATGAGATTGTAGTCCATCACAGGAATGGATTTTTAAGTTTTAACTCCTGAGTTTAGTGTCACTTTAATATAAGTAGCACTGATGACAAAGGCATCACAAAGCATTATGAGAGAGCATAGTAGAAGCTATTTTCTTTCACTCATTCACCAATTGACTTCTTTGACTTATTCAGGTTGATTTATGTTATTATTGTGATTCATGTGTGAAGAAAATAACAAAAAGCTGGATTTTTGCTAGAACATAATATGTTGATTGACCTAAACATAGTTTAACCTTATTTTATGTATGTTTAAGGAACTTGCACTTTGCTAAGAAAACAGCCTTTGCTCTTCTAATACGTCAACTCTGTTCAGGTGCATCAACTCTAAAGTGACATTAAAGTCAATGTTTTTCCCCTCACCCCAATGTTAATGAAAGCACTTACCTTAAATGATGTCTTTTAATCCGACATTCTTCTTTCCTGTAGTTTTCAGACTCCTCTGTGCTTGCTGGCACTTCCTGTCCCACGCTGTCTTTTTAAAACATTTTGCATATATCTACTGCTTGCTAGCAGTAGATAAATGCAAAAAAAAGCTGAGGGTTTAGAAACCCTTTAAGCTTCAGCTATTGATCTCTGCATACAATAGGCTTTTTCAGCAAATCAACAAAAGAACAGCTTGGAAAACATATGGAAAGAAGCATAGAGCCTTACCTGGTGTCTGATAAATGTAAATATGAAATGTTATTATGCAATTATTCATATCTAACTTACTAAAATAAAATTTTTAATGATATGTTGAGCTTCTAAAACGAGAAAATTGTATTTCTTAGTTTAAGTATTTATCAATCAGTATTATAAATAACAATCCTATAGTAAGTTTACATTGTTTTAAAAAATTAGAAATGTATGTAAATATCTGTAGATATCGAATATAGTTTTAGCTTATTTAGATATTTCATTTGGATTAGACATTTAGGATCCTCGGTTACTGGTACACTCGTGCTACTATGTCAAAATGTTGTAATCCAAATCCAGTATTGGAAAATTAAAGACAGAGACACCTGCATTACATTGTGGGATATCAGAGGAACATTACAGAACTCAATTTTAAAACCAAAGGGGAGGCCTGTGTGAAGATTAGATGGCTGTGAAATAGACCTACTACAAGGGTTGATGAAGGCAGCAAGTCAAACATCTAGTTTTGGATGGAGGCTTATTTTGGTACTTGAATGTATGTGACGTTTTACTTATCTATGGAGTGTCTTTCTATGTATACACCAGTGTAACGTTCCCCACTCCCTCAGGGCTTCTCCTAGTGCTGGGTCACTCAGTATCATGAATCAGATTGCAATGTAATAGAACAGGGCCAGCACAGCACAATGTTAACCATCTACCTAAATATGCTACATTAGTTACAAAAATTAGACATGTATAAAAAAAAATGCTACATAGTCAGAGAATGGTTTGGGTTGAGCCAAGTTTTACTGCTGAAAGGAGGACAAGAAGCCTACTTTTTTAGAGCAATGATAATATATACATATAAACACCAGTATAAAATGAATAGTTTAATACAGTATAAAATATGGCACATTAGGGTCTTTTCATCCTCCTCAGTTCAGTTCTTGTCAAAGTAAGGACCAAATACTTGAATTGTGCCTGAAGATCAGACATTGAATCATGACTCAAAATTTAGTTCCACTGCAAAGTCTTCACTGTAGATTTTTCCAGACTTCTCTTTGTGAGGATTATCCAGTTCATTTTTCGATAGATATAATCTACAATAAAAGTTAATACAAAAATATCAATACTATGAATTAGACTGGAAAACACAGTAGAAAAATTATTCTTTTAACACTTTAAGGTCATATCTACTTGTGCACCCCCAACGGCCCATATGCACCCACCAACCGTTGTGCAAAGTTACCCTTTAATGTAGGTGATAACTGGCTGGTGCTGACATACCTAGGTGCTGCTTTGAATTCCTAGGTGGTCATGGACTCTACTTAAAAGGAGAACTATGAGGCGAGTGATTTTCAATTAAGTTGTCACACGTCGGCTCATTAGATCGGAAAGTGAGCGAACACATAGCATCGCTCGCTCACTTCTCGATCATATCCCTGCAGAGAGCCGTGACTGTCACTCATGGCTCCCTGCAGGGATTCCCCCTCTCCCCTCTCCGATCTTCCAGCGCTGACTGGCGGAATGGACGGGGGAGGGGGCGGAAACAGCTGGCTCTGCCTCTAGATAGGCAGAGCCAGCTGTCAATCACGCAGCTGGGTGGATCTCGACAGTAATGTCGGGATCCGTCCCGGCTGCGGCGGTCTCAGTATCCCACGAGCTGTAGCTTGCGGTATACTGAGCTTTGGGTCACGGGAGGACGCTAGTTTGTGTCCTCCCGTGAACCTTAAGAGAACTATGGGAAAAACACTTACCCCATAGTTCTCTTTTAACTCCACATGCTTGGTACTCAGCTATAGAGAATAGTGGAACACCTGTCTTCCTTCTTAGTGTAGCACTGCATGCAAGTACATGTGCAGTTATGTGGAGGCTCTAAATCAACAGAGGATCAAAACTATTTCTAGCCACATAAAAACAAAACACCTACAGCCTTTATCAGAAGAATGATTGTGCATGGGGGAATTTGCTCGAATCGATGAGGGTGATGTGATCTTCGGTATTGCAAAACTGCACTTGTCCTTAAATGGTGGTACCTAAGCAACTTAGATACATGTCTACTATAGATGACATCTTAGTATATAACATCTTAGTTGCAACTCTCAGTCTCTAACAAGACATACACTGTAACAATGCTAGAGTAGGAGCAATAGCTCTGAACCGGTAAGTGCAGAAATGGTGATTGCAGCAGGGAAACTGAAAATGTTCATGGAGACAGGAGGTCCCCCTGTCCCTTTTAGGCCGTTTGGCAGTTGCCAGTCCTATACTTTTGTCACTGGTTTAAACCTGAAGCATTAGATGATCAAATATGATCTCTATAAGAGGTGAGAAGAGGTGTACTGGAGGGTGAGAAAATAGTTGCAAATGAATCTGCCTTTCCTTGAAACTAGGGATGCACCGATACCGGTATTTTGGTACCGAGCACGAGTACCGATAATTTTTTTTTGGTACTCGCCGATACCAATTACAGAGTAAGGGAAGTCCCATTCAGGAAGCCAGGTGGCGTGTAATGACTCACCACCTTGCTTCCTGATTAGCCGGGAAGCCGGGCAGCGTGTAAAGAGTCCCCACCCGGCTTCCCGATTAACAAGAAAGTCCTCTTACCTTAGTATGTGCAGCCTGTCACCCCCGGGGCCTCTCCAGCGACAACGCGGCCTTCGTCCGGTACCCAGCCGGAGCCGTCTAGCTGGCCAATCAGGAAGCCGGGCGCCGTGTAATGACTCGACGCTCTGCTTTCTGATTGGCCAGGAGGCCGGCTCCATGCTCTCTTGTCATGAGATGACGAGGGAGGATGAAGCCAGCTTCCCAGTCAATCATAAAGCAGGGCGTCACGTCATTAGACGGCGCCCGGCTTCCTGATTGGACGGCTCGGGCTGGGTACCGGACGAAGGCCGCATTCTCGCTGGAGAGGCCCCAGGGGATGACAGGCTACACATACTAAGGTAAGGTAACCTTACCTCACGAGGCCAGCTTCCGGTCAATCGCGAAACCGGGCAGTGTGTAATGACGCGCTGCCCGGCTTCCTGATACTTGCCCAAATACTCGGAATCGGCACCGATATCGATACTAGTATCAGTATCGGTGCATCCCTACTTGAAACACTGATGAAATTAATTAAACCGTGTCTGCTTATACAGTATATTTGATCATTCTTATTTATTTGTAGATATCTAAACACATTCCTTTTCTAAAGTAGCAGTAATTACAACCATAAAACAAGTTAAAGAGACTGTTCTTGTAAAACCCTCCAAAACGCTGCAGTTATAGGGTACCTAGAAGTGCCTGCACATACCTGGAGCAGCCTATTGAACCTTGCTGTTTTAGCCAAATTCTTGGGTTCATGTGGCAGGCAAAGCTCCAACTAATTAGGTAGTGGAGTTTGCTGCTACCTTTTGCCTCATTACATTCCTACTGCTTCTTCACTATGATTGGCAGTTTTACTGGTCAAAAGAAATGTGCATGAAAAGGATGGGAAGTGTGGGGGTCAAAGTTCAGCATTAAATGAATGTTGCTAAAGTTGAGTCAGTGACCAAGAACAGGTATGTTGATCAGTAAAGTCAAAGAAATCTTGTTCTTGGTCAGTGTTAGGAGGTATTGAACCAAGAGAGTCAACAGTGGCAGGTTCCATGTTTCTCCCATAACAGGCTTCCTTTAGGCTCTTGACCCCCACCATCACCTGTTCCAGTAATTACCCAAGAGTCTTCACTGAGGTATTGCGATCCCCAAAATCATGAGATAATCTAAACAAAAACCAGAAGCTTTCCAGTCAAAGTACAATGACAGCCACAATACCAACTTAAGACTTACCTGTTAGTTTCTACAAATGAAGTATTAAACCAGAAATAGAATGGACAGTCATCATAGCCCTTAGGTAGACCCTAATAAAAAATAAAAAAAAGATGACAGAAGTCCAGTCTGTAACAATAAAGCTATCAGCCATTAGCGTTGTACACAATACAATAAAGTATAGCAATAATTACTTTGTAAATGGTCATTCTTAAACATCTTTATGCCTTTGGGCTGCTGTGCACATTGGGGCACAGATGTCATCAGTGACACATCAGTGTTAAAATAACAACCAGCTTGTATTAGGAAGAGTCCTTTTATCAACTTATCCATTAAGAAACATACAAAAGGCATAGATAAAGCAGCTAATGCAGAAATAGTTATTCTCTCCTTTATGTTTATGCCTTTTAGGTGCCTCACCACGTTACTACATTGACGTGCATGATTGGGACACTAAGACAGGAATACCTTAAGTAATGAGATATGCAAGAATCTTTTCTCAGTTGAATTGTGATATTGCACTAAAGGAAATGCTAATTAATGTTGGGTCAGAAGAAAACATTCAACCATCAAGGATGTTATAATTACCAGGGAATCTGCTTCTACTGACTGAAGAGTAAAAGCATTGAAGAGAAAGTGCTGAGAAAAGATGTATCAACATTTATTCTATGTACATTGGTTACAGGTTTTAAGAGTGTGATTAGAAAAAACGGAATCAAAAGTAGTTGTAATACTTGTTATGAGCATTAGTTACAGTTCAGCGTATTCTTTTACTTTTATGGCCAGTTCACTCCAAAGTGTTGTGCTAAAGACACAGTACTCGTGCGTTTAGTGCATGCTATCGCACAGCGCAGTGCACATTAGATACGCTGGTGCGTTGCATTGCAATACATTTGAATGGCACCCCAACCCACTTGGAGCCACAATATTGTGCACCGCGTTACAAAAGTGCATGGATTACTTTTTTCACCGTATCGCAATGCATAGTATTGTGGTACTGAGCTGAATCACACGCCCGCGTGAAGTGTGTTGGATGGCATTCAAATGAATGGCAATGCACCAGTCAATGTATGCAGTACTTTTATACTTTTTATTTGAATCAGTAGCTGCCCTAAAGGAGCTTACACTCTAAGGTCCCTATCTCATATTCGCACATACTAGGGTCCATTTAGACAGGATCATGTGAGTCTTTGGAAAGCAGTGTACCCAGAGGACCTCAGTGCTGCAAAGTAGACATGCAAAGCACTGAGCCACTATACTGGTATATGCTTATCTTTAGGGCCTGTTCACATGAGTTTCAGGTCCTAATCAGGTCCGGATCTGCAGATGTGGTGCTACTGATGCAGTGCGTTTTGGCCGCGTTTTTGGTGCGTTCCAGTAAAAAAAAAAAAATGTTTTGCTGAAGTGGGGCTGATTTGTTTTGCTGAAGTGGGGCTGTTAGTATGTTAGCTGCAGTGCAGTGCGTTTTTGATGCGTTTAGGATGCGTTTGCGTTTCCTGACCGTACAAAATGTGACATGCAGTATTTGTCTGTCGTAAGCTGAACGGACTGCGCACGTGAGAACTGTAGCCCATAAAACACATAGGGATACATTGGGATGCATTTTGAGTGCAGGAGCTTACGGATCAGGTCAGCACACAAAACGGACGTCGTGTGAACAGGCACTAATATTACATTTTCTTGTATTATCACATCATACAGTGCCACCAAAGATGGTGGCACTTCATAAACCAATTATAATCTGTATGGTGGGAATGGTAAAATCGAAAAATATCATTCACTTACAGCACTAGATTCAAATCTGATCTTCACGTCTCCGGAAATAACTGGACAACCATCCAAGCTAATGACTGCAGAATTATTGCCAGCATCGAAAAACAGCTGTAAGATAAGAAATGGTTCATGTGCATGTAGTGCAGTGTTCAAGCCGCTCTATATCATTATGAAGGAATATGGTCTTCTGTAATGCTAGCATAGTTGTTGTTTTTTTGTTCACCTGGCGGCTGCTATGGGGCTTGGGGGTGGAAGGGGGCCCCATTAGGTTGTTGAGACAAATTATACAAAGAACATGTGAAGATAACAAAGTACTGTATCATTAAGTGTGGTTGATGGCAACCCTAATCCTCTGTACAGTCTACAGTGTAGGAAAGATGCTCTCAGATGCACAAGAGTCTTTGGGATTTTTGTGTCATTAATTACAGCTCAGGGAGAGGTTGTCAGGGGGCCTCCCCATCACATTTTTGCTATAGGGCTTCATGATCTGTAGTTACACCAGTGACATGCTGTGCCTTCAGGAGGAATCCCCCAGCCTGCCTAAGCTCCGTCCCCATGCCCAGCTGAAGCTCCGCCCCATCCAGCCAAAGCCCCGCCCCCAGCTTGGTAACCAATCTGTGTCCCTTACTTGCTCGTCACCTGTGACGCATCGAGATCGATGTCCTCACTGTTTTTTTAAATCTATTTTTTATTGGACAGCTTGGACCAATGGCGCTCTGCCACCAGTCCAAGCCATCCACAGAGCTCACGCCTCTAACACAGAGTTACACAAGCAGTGGGGAAGCCCGCTGCTGTGTAACCCAACTACCTGTCAAAAGCCGGGTGCGGCGCTGCCTGTAATTATCAGGCAGTGCTCCGTCCATGACAGGTTACACCACGGGGGAGGCTTTCCCTGCTGTGTAATCTGTAACAAGCCGATCTGAATGGAGAAAAGGCTGTCACCTTTTTTCTTCATAATACTAGGTGAGACTCACCTGTCTCCCCTGACCGCACTTCCCTGAGTTACACCCCTGAGTGAGGAACCAGCCACAGAGCAACAACTTGCTGGTTTTCTCAGTGATGCTATAAGAGCATTAGCGACCCTAAGCGCGAGAAAGAGAGCAACCAGCATCAGGATTGCTTGTGTGACATATTCCTAGCCATTGAGCTAGTTGTCAGCACAGTTTCTGAACACCATTGGTAGCCTTCAACATTGTTCTTCCTGGGCTGTAATAAAGGTTGACATCTTCCTAGCTACTTTAAACTACCCCTGCAGCAATTTGCATCTGTTCCCTGTCTTTAGACTTTAATGCGATGTGACATATAAACATGCAAATTATGCATTGTATAAAACATAGGCAGTAGACTATATTCCAAGTGAATGTACCATAAAGAAAGATATGCTCTGAAATACCGGCATCCAATCAGATATACAGTATATTTCTGTCAGATTAAACCAGTCCATTTGGGTAAACAGCAAGGGCTGAATGTTCCCTGTTACCTGTACCTTACAGTTTTCTTGAGTCTCACAGACACACTGGAATATCACTTGTTTTTTGATTATTATCTGGACCGTCATGTCACTTCCATTGCTTTTTCCGACTCCTGTGTATTGACATAATTAACAAAATAGGATTATTATGTTGTTTTATATTCCTGCTAACATCTATGCTTCTCTGCTGCAACTGCCTCATGTTCTGTCAGAACTCAGCCTTTTCACGCAGCAGCAGGCTCTCAGAGCAGACAGAGTTAAGGTGCCCATACACTGCACGATTCTCGTGCGAGAATTGCGGGAAATCCCGTGATTGTACGAGAATCGTGCAGTGTATGGAAGGCGTGCGACCGTTTCTAATGTACGGCCGCACGCCTTTTGTATATCGAGCATGTTGGAAAACCAGCCGAGAATCGTACGATTTTCGGCTGGTTTTTAACATGATCGAGAGATCACTGCCGAACGGGCCGGTGTGCGCACGCGCACACTGCCCGTTCAGCATTGCAGTCATCGGAAGCCCGCCACTCAGGGGGGCGGGCTTGCGATGGTCACAAGTACGATCTGCCTGTCCAAGATGGGCAGATCGTACGTTTTTTTAAGTACTTTACAACTCTCGCAAGACAAAAGTCTTGCGAGGGTTGTAGAGTGAATGGGCACCTTAACAGAGAGTCCTGAGCATAGGTCAACCCAGAAATAAAAAGGTCTGTGGACAGCTGAAAGTAATAATCAGGTCTGACTAACAGGTATGATGGCTTAGGGATGGAGGGTTTTTCCCACCCAAAGCTCTACAAAGCCTCCATGCTCCAGGATCGAGAACAGAACATAAGATCTGAGAGAACAACAAGCTTGTTTCTTCCATAGCAGACAGAAATCCTGGAGCCGGTCACCATGTGTAGGTGAGAAATCTAGGTGGCACATATACATCATCCACAATCCTGCCAGCCAATGCCTCACAATACACAAATGCCTCACCAACAGATACATCTGCCCAACCTTGATTAACCTACATGCAATGAAGACCTGCAACAATTTTCTTTACAATTTGGCCAGATGTTATTTCATCTACATGGCCAATATGTTCCTAATTCTGCTGTGAGAAACAGTCTGCTGTGAGTATCAAATTCGCTTTTAGCTTTGGGAAGGCTTTTTGTGTGATAATGAACACAAATGCTCACAAAGATAGCCCTTCACTGTCAAGTCTTGGATGCAGTCCATGTGATGCTCAAATTGCCTGCTCAAGAGATGTTGCATAATTCTAAGTACTGTATAATGAGAACACAGCTTCCGTTACCACAGTTGGAGCATGCTATAAAATTAGGGCCTAGACCCCAAAAGATCTAAGCTTTACTCACTTTGCTAAAAGTTGCTACCTCTATACCTATTGGAGAGATTTCCCATCACTCTCTCTCTGACTCCCTATTACTGGGACAAGAAGTGAGGGAAAATCTCCACAGTGGGGGCACAGAAAGTTATAAAAAACCAGATAGAGATTGTAATAAATTCCGTCTATATCCAAAACTAAGTTTTGGATAGAGCTGGGCTATAACAACTGTCTGGTAGCAAATGTCACTCATCTTTGTTATCATTCATCAGTTTTTCAACTCTAACCTGCTGAAACAGGAATTGTGAGTTGTTGGTGTGAGTTGTTACCATTGATCTGGTCCACCATTTGTTTTTTTTAAGTAGCTATACTGAATATTCTAGCCAATATTTGGTAACCATTTTGTTGGCTTCAGTCATTTTCCTCAGGCTGTTCACCAATGTTCCATTCTAGATTAGTTTATGCCCAACTACATGGAAAACCTTTTTTTAGAACTTGCCACCTTCATACTGCTTTACTTTATACCGCGGAGGGGAAATTCACCAAATTGGGCGATAAAAACACATTTTCTAGTAGAATAAGAAGGTTTAAAACCTCTGTCAGGAATGTATTGCTACCTGAGTCTCCATCAAGAAGTATTCCCTTTACTTAATGTCCAAGTCATGGGTATAAGATACAACAGGAAGATACGAGACAGCTCGGTTTTGGGGTCCCAGACAGCATTTGAATCCTAACCTAAAGTTCTAACTCTTCTCTGCTTTATCCAAACTTAAAAAAAAAAAATTGGCTGGTGTTGGGCTTCAAGCTCTTATTCCTTTTGTGTTAGTTGAAAGTGTCCTACTGATTCCCACATTATGAGCATAACGTAATTGCTAGAATTACCTTCGATTGAATGGATTCGAATACTTCGGATTCTGAACTCTTTCTCTGGAGGGAGCTGCAACTTGTACTTGTTCTTCAGAACTTCATAGTAACCCACATATCTACTCTGCAAATGAACAGATACACACAGAACATCACTATGCTATACTATACCATAGACAAGCAGTGTAACCTTGCAGTGGTGGGGCCTGGGTCCAATACCCACCAGACACCTATTTATGTCTTTGAGAGCCACCTCTAGATGTTCTACTTTTAACCACTTAAAGACCGGAGTGTTAAACCCCCTTCCTGTCCAAGAAAAAAGTAGTGAAAAATGTGGAAAAAAAATATTTTCCTTACATTATGAAACATTTTTTATTAGCCATTTTTTGTAAAATAGAAAAGATGGGGTCACGTCAAGTAAATAAACGAAAAATATACCTTATCACACTCCTTACCGGAAAAAAACCCAAAATTGGATGCGGGGGGGTTGGGGGTGGTGGTGTGTGCTCGCAGTGACCGCGGATGGTGCCGCCACTCAGTACAAAATGGATGGTTTTGGACTACAACATTGTTGGTGTGCTGGTGACATCTATACATTTTGTACGTCTGGTAAATAGACACCAAACACGTCAAGTCTTATTGCGTGCGTGCATGCGCCCGCCTAATCGCAAAAAAACAGCTACACCCAAAAATCGATCATAGGCTGCACTTGAAAAGCTTTTACCACTCATGAATTTAGTGTTACCAGTGATTGTTGCCCTAGAGTTATTGCTCGCACTCTGACGTTTGCAGTGATATATAACGTTTGAGGGTCAATAGAGGGCTGGTCTGTCAACGGGATTGGTTTAGTGCCCTCTGTAAAGTTCTGGCACTGTACTGTATACAATAAACAAACTAGATAAATTATCTTGGTGTTGGCCATTGAACACAGAACCTGAATTTTTTGTTTGTTCCAAATTTTTTAAGGTACTGGGGTACCAAATCAGAGTTTTTACATCTTATATCAAAAATCTGGTCCCTGCCATTCAGCTGTAACTGTATGGAAGGTGCTGGAGCAGAAGACTTGCAATGCAAAAGAATCAATACAGAAGACTTGCAATGCTGATGAAGATTCACTGGTGCCAAGTCTGTAATTATTCAGGAAAACATCTCATAGACAGTTGGTGACATTTCCAATTTCTTTGGAATTAAAAGGTTTTTCTTTTACATAGTTGTTAATGCAGAAAACAAATCATTTTGTAACAAATTAACTTTACTAAAATGATTTCCCAAAGCGATGTGACTGTTTTTAACTTGAAGTTGAATGAGTTACAAGACAGGACTTACCTGTGAGGGTGTTTCCACGCCTTGAAACTTTGTGCTGACAGATGTATCTGTCCTACGTTCACCAAAATAATCCAAACTTTCCTAAACAAAAATCAGAACAAGACAAGACTCATTATTCATTAATTTAACAAATTGTTCAGGTTATGGGAAATGCACTGTGAGGTGCACCCAATGTAGGCAATATTCAGCTCTAAATATGTGTGAAGATACAACACAGTCATTAGCTAACCAATCAAAGCTGGAGTATTTTTTTTTTATGCAAACACTGAAATTGCAAGTGAAAAATTGTGCATGCATGTGGATGGGGCTCACTGTGTGGCAGAGATTTAAAGGGAGCAGGCGACACAACGTCAAGTTTTTAAAAAGAGAACTAAGCAGTTACAACAATACGGTATTCTTCTTCCAAAGCTTAACTCCATACTCCATACAAGGCATTTATAGATTTCAATCTCAAGGCAAAGCACATACAGGAGATTGTGCGAGGAGTGCCTCCTTAAGCATGTAACCATAGGGCTCCTTGAAGTTAATTTCTATATACGAGTGCTGTCCTAGCAATGCAGCACTCACAAAGAGACCGATGACTGAAAGGTATCAATTTCCTGACAGAGATGCCCTTACCAACCAACCAGCTTTCAACTATCATTTATGCAGTCCCAGTTTACAAAATAAAAACAAACTTTTGATTGGTTGTTATTGGAAACAAGTAGAGATTCTGTCAAGGAACACGTTTATACCTCTGACCAAAGTATTAGCTCACTTTGTAATTTATTACTGAATATTATATTGATTATATCTGCTATTATTAATATTTCCGGGTTATATTTTTATAAATCATTTCTACATAAGACCATTACCTTTGCACTCTCAAACTGGTCACAGTCAACAAGATAAGTACAAACCATTGTTCCAGTTCGGCCTAAAGCAAAAATCAAGAAACAAATGTTAACTGTAGAACAAAAAAAATGTCAGTCACACATACAAAAACATATTTGCTGTTCTTCCTCCTCCCTGTTTGCTTGTGTCCCATTGCAACTAACTGTATGATCAAATCTTCATACCTTTACCCCCTTTACAGTGAATGGCAATCACATTTTTGGGATCTTCTGCCATCCAGGAACGCACATTGGCTGTAAACTTTAGCATGTCCCTAGAAAGAAAATAATAACATAATCACATGGTATCACGATTTCATGACATGCTTTACAATATACACAGGACCAGTTATATCAATCTCTCCCCCATATTACCTTACATGTAAAACCCCTACTGCAGTCATACAGACCCTCGGGTTAATTTGATCAGAAACCACCGGTATTTGTTTTTGGATAGTGGAAGGAAACTAAAGCAAACAATACAAAATAAAGACGCAATGCAGATGTAACTCCTTTTCCTAACTGGATTCAAGAGCTTAGCAGTTTAAGTACATAGAGCTAATCACTTCAACAATTTTTATAACATGTAGACGTCTCAAGTCTTCCTCAGTGGAAAATTTAAATTCCATTCAAATTTTACAAAGCATTGAAATATAACAAGCAGCGAGGAGCAATATGAATAAGGACTAATACCGTATAAAAACACAGCTATTTAATAAATATCACAATTAAATGACATAAAATTGGATACCTGAGATTGGCTACAATTCCATTCTGCAGGTACACTATATTACCAAAAGTATTGGGACACCGGCCTTTACACGCACATGAACTTTAATGGCATTCCAGTCTTAGTCCGTAGGGTTCAATATTGAGTTGGCCCACCCTTTGCAGCTATAACAGCTTCAATTCTTCTGGGAAGGTGTCCACAAGGTTTAGGAGTGTGTCTATGGTAATGTTTGACCATTCTTCCAGAAGCGCATTTGTGAGGTCAGGTACTGATGTTGGACGAGAAGGCCTGGCTTGCAGACTCCGCTCTAATTCACCCCAAAGGTGTTCTATCGAGTTGAGGTCAGAACTCTGTGCAGGCCAGTCAAGTTCCTCCACCCCAAACTTGCTCATCCATGTCTTTATGGACCTTGCTTTGTGCACTGGTGCGCAGTCATGTTGGAACAGGAAGAGGCCATCCCCAAACTGTTCCCACAAAGTTGGGAGCATGAAATTGTCCAAAATGTCTTGGTATGCTGATGCCTTAAGAGTTCCCTTCACTGGAACTAAGGGGCCAAGCCCAACCCCTGAAAAACAGCCCCACACCATAATCCCCCCTCCACCAAACTTTACACTTGGCACAATGAGCCAGGCAAGTACCATTCTCCTGGCAACCACCAAATCCAGACACGTCCATCGAATTGCCAGACAGAAAGCCGTGATTCGTCACTCCAGAGAACATGTCTCCATGTCTCTACAGCCCAGTTGCGGCGGGCTTTACACCACTAAATCCGACGCTTTGCATTGCACTTGGTCATGTAAGGCTTGGATGCAGCTTCCCGGTCATGGAAACCCATTCCAGGTAGCTCTCTACGCACTGTTGTTGTGCCAATCTGAAGGCCACACGAAGTTTGGAGGTCTGTAGCTATTGACTCTGCAGACAGTTGGTGACTTCTGCGCACTGTGCGCTTCAGCCTGCGCTAAACCCGCTCTGTCATTTTACGTGGCCTACCACTTCGTGGCTGAGTTGCTGTTGTTCCCAGTTGTTTCCACTTTGTTATAATACCACTAACAGTTGACCGCGGAATATATAGTACCAAGGAAATTTCACGGAACACCTGAATCCAATGATTTGGAGGGGTGTCCCAATACTTTTAGTAATATAGTGTATATAGACTAATAAGAAGAATTTTAGAGGCTGTCACAAGCATCATGAAAAGGAGATGTGGGTGTGTGACTTATGATCTACTGGATGGGGGCCACTGCTATTGACTGAAAGGTACTTACTCCAGAGCTGGGACATTGTGATCATCTATGAACACTCGCTCCACTTTGTAATGGAAGTATTTAGGATCATATCCCTTTTCACCTGTAAGAAAATATTAACATTATTTTAGGAATAATCCTCGCTCCGGCCCTCCAGCTGTGGTGGACTACAAATTAAATTAGTATTAAACTCTCAAACTTTTTTTCAATATACATTGCCCAGCAAAGTATTTCTTTACATTTGTGCTCAAGCAATCACAGTCATCATGTTTCGGACAACTGGCTCCAACTCTATTAGCTTGGCTTCTCTGAGCTTCCTTTTGAGTACAGAATCGCAAAGGACAGAGCACTTGTCCATCTACTAGCTTCAAGAAATGAGAGGAGGGAGAAAGGAGGAGAGAGGAGGAGGGTGTAGGGGGTGGTTTGCCTTGCTGTGCTTGGATGACATGGTAATGGATAAGGTTTACTTTTTCCACAGGTTGGCTTGTTTAGGAAATCCGAAAAAGTCTTGAATCCAAGCTCTATGTCAGATGAATAAGAACTGTCCAGAGAATGTAAACTATGAGGATCAGTGTGCGTACGATGTAGCAGAGATGGTGAAACAGTTCTTCTGTTAGCTTCCAGAGGCCCTTCTCACAAGTAAAGTGGGAGAGACTTTCCAGTGTGAGTAATCAGTCTCTAGACTCAACTAGTGTTTTTTTCAACCTGACTAACTATGTAACTATGGGACACTGCCACCTTCCCATGCAGGGCACAGTGACTGTCTCTACAAAGGCATTCCTGGCCCTAATATACTCAACTAACCTGTGTTTCCTTGCAGCTCCATGCTTCTTCACAGTCAGCAAGAACACTGGCAATTCCATGTATGCGGCTGACCTCCTCTTCTGTAACAGTGTTTGGATCTAGCAGCCAATTGTTAGGCCCAAACACTATGACATGACCGGTTGAATGACATCACTGCTTCCCCCGGGTCACTGACACAGCTGATTTCAGTACTGGCTATGGAGGATGATGGAGGGAAGGTAAACTGAGTATAATGAGGTCAGGAGATGCCCTTTGCAGAGACACTGTCACCGTTTCCATGTATACACTCTGTTGTTCGCCACTACTTACTGCACAGATTGTAGACCTTGTAGTGATCTTTATGCTTGGAGTCCAAAAATCTTGAAACATGCTTTAAACAAGGTAAAAAAACAAAAAATAACTAGTCAGAAAATATGGAAGAAGCAGACACATTCTTATGAGTATCAGAAAGAAACTAAGAAGACATAACAGTAATTTACATGAAATAATGAGAGTGGAAATGCAAAAGTCAAGTAATTATCTATGAGCAGTGTATCAGCAGTGTGACTGTCTCTGTACCATGAATGGTAGACTGCTTTGTCACTCCACTCCTTTGCCACTGTCTGAGCCACTTACTCTAGGTAAATATCATACTTATCTACTGAAACCATTATTATTGTAACCAACACATATCCAGTATAGCCATCTGTACTCCTTTTACTCTAAGGCAAAATGTTCAACTTTTATACCTCATAGGAACCCTTGAAATCATTTTCAGGTGTTCCCTAGGAGATGTAGGAACCCCTGCTAAAATGTTTTGGTGGCCAATGTGAAGAATGCCCCTTACATTTGCGGTCCGTGGAAAGAATGCCACCCTTACAAACAGCTAAAAAGGTAATGGGTGTCATGCTGTTGGCTATGCTGAGTGGTGCTGGACCCAGAACTATGCAGGGTGCCACTGCTTCAGGATCCCCTAGGAACCTCTGGAGTACTTTAGTGTTCCATGGAACCATGGCTGGCAAATGCTAGGGAGTGTTTAAATTACATATAGCATCAAATATCAATGAATCTAATAGGTTATAAGAAATTACTTTCCTTTCCTTTATACAGCTCAAGAACCTCTGATGGCTCTTCCAGAAAATTAGAATTTAGAGTGTACCAGTGTATCAAGTATAGGTTTATGATTCCTGATATAATAAAGCCGGAATCCAGGCAAACAGGTAATGCACACACAAAATATATTTATGGGAGCTATTTTACCTGCCAAAGGATTGATTGTATTTCTGCCATCCTAGTCCTAAGATTTGTAGAGCCTCATCACACTTCACAGACAGGTGGATGACACCACATAGGGCCATGTCACAAGGGTGATTCTGCTACTGGCGATAACCCCCCATTAGGGGGGTTAAAGTTGAGCCTGGAGATCAGCTTTAAGTATTACTGTATAGAATTTGCTTTTTAGCCGTGCTAAAGATTTAGCAATGTAACAATATACAGTAAAAATCTGAAACAGGTTCACATCGTTCCCAATTCTACCAGCCGAGGGTACTTTTGCTGTGTATGTCATTGGATTGATACTGCTCATATTCTGGCCCAGTGGGAAGTGAAGGCTAATCTCTTCAACCAAAGAACAAGATGCAGTAAAACCCATTCAACATTTTACCAAAACGGAAAAAAGAATACGATCCAGAGCAAAAATTCTGATTATAAGCATTGCTCCAAAGCATTCAATCTGACTCTCACAGTCAAGTACATTGTTTACATTACTTTCGCAATCTGATTGGATGCTACAGGGAAACAATGGTGTTTTTGTTTCAATATTTGTGAGAAAAGTGGCCTATTGGACTTCCCAAAGTACATACCTCTATAGGATTCCTGTAAAATGACTGCTTTCCAGAAGATGGGAATGACATGGCAATAATACGATCTGTCAAAAGTAAAAATAAGCATGAATTTATCAACGATATTGCCGATAATTATGTGCAAGATACATTTTATTATTTGAATTTTAGATTATTTTGTAATTTGAATTTTAGAATTTAGTTTTCAGATTTAAAACCAACAGGAACACTACATTATTTGCCCTTGTTTGTGGGCAGATCACATATATATGATATATAAGAAAGCTAATATAATATGGCCGTAGCAGAGTCCAGTATCAAATTTGAACAATCCACTAAATTCTTGGCCACCAGTGTAAGGTCAGCTAATATAATTCAAAGTTGGGTCCTACATCATTAGGCTCTTAATCATAATTATTTACAGGTGAAACTTGAATAATTAGAATATTGTGCAAAGTTCATTTATTTCACTAATGCAACTTAAAAGGTGAAACTAATATATGAGATAGACTCATTACATGCAAAGCAAGATAGTTCAAGCCGTGATTTGTCATAATTGTGATGATTATGGCTTACAGCTCATGAAAACCCCAAATCCACAATCTCAGAAAATTAGAATATTACATGCAATCAATAAAACAAGGATTGTACATAGAACAATATCGGACCTCTGAAAAGTACAAGCATGCATATGTACTCAGTACTTGGTTTGGGCCCCTTTTGCAGCACTTACTGCAATTACTTTTGCACGATATTCTAATTATTCGAGTTTCACCTGTATAGTTTGAAGCTTTCCAGGGGGCAACAGTTGGGACTTTAACGCACTGTAACACAAACCTGTAACATAGGTGAGATCCAAGTCAAATCCATCTTTCTGATAACGCCGTTTATTTTCAGAAACCTAAAAAAGAGATTTTTTTTCAGTTTATATAGATTGTATTTTCTAAAAGTCAGTCACATTGTGATTATGGAAAGGTAGAGGACAGAAAGTGAGAAGGTGAGCCGGGGAATGATCAGAATTCTTTATGTCTATTCTTGATCCCGGCAACTTAACCCCTTCGTGACGGGAGACGTACAGTGTACGTCCCGTCACTTTGTGCCTATATGACTGGCCACGTACACTGTACGTGACGAGTTATATCAGGCTTTGTAATGCTGGTAACAGCTGATTCTCAGCAGTTACCAGTCATTAATGAATGCCCCAGTATTGAGGCATTCATTAATGAAATAATTAAGCTTTTTGTAAAAGCTTCTTCCTTTCATTAATGAAAGAATGAAGCCGTTACATGCAAATACAGGAACGCAATTTGCGATACCGTATTTGACAGCTGAAAATAGCAGAGAGGTAGCAGTGACTCACCTCTCTGCTATTTGTTTTGACAGCTCGAGAGCCCGATGTTTAGATACATTTCACTCAAAAGATACAATGTATATCTTTTGAGTGAAATGTATCAGTTCTGATCGTCTAGGCACGATCAAAGAGCTTTTAGGGAGATCTGAATCTGACTAAAGTCAGGATCAGTCTCTAAGGTTATTATAAGCTGTTCCTAAGTTTGGATCAGCTTAATAGCCAACAATTTAAAAAAAGTTAATTTATCAAGCAGTCATAGTGACTGCTTGATATAAACTGACAAGAAAAAAAAAGTTTTTAAACATTTTTTTTTTTTGAAAGTGTAAAAAAAATTAATAAAGTGTAAAACAAAATTAGGAAAATAAAAAGGGTTAGGTACACATATGTGATATAATTATATCCCTCTAAAAAAACAATATACAATATGTGTGGGTACATTTAGTAAGAAAGTATATTACTGCTGTGGAAGAATCACACAGCAAAAATTTAAAAAGAGTGTCAGTCATTTATGAACAGAAACTGAAAACTAGCTCAGTCATGAAGGGGTTAAAGGGGTTGATTTACTAAATGCAAATAGGCTGTTTACTTTGCAGGGATTCTTCACTTTGCAAGGGAATCTTTACTTTAGCTTATTCAATGGGGTGACCTGAGGGTTGCTTAGTGAAAATGTTAAAACTGACTTTGCAAAGAATCCCCAATCATGTGGAAGGAAAATAAAAAAAACAAAAAACAGTTCCTTGCAAAGTGTACGATCCTTTGCAAAGTGAACATTTGCCTTAAAGGAGAACTATGAGGTGTGTGAAACTCACTCATCCTCATAGTTTGATCCGACCTGTGACAATGAAACTGTCACACGTCAGCTCAAAAGATCGGGAAGTGAGCGGACACATACCGTCACTCGCTCAGTTCTCAATCATCTCCCTGCAGAGACTGTCAGTCACCGCTCCCCGCAGGGGTTCCCTCCCTCCCCGCTCTGATCCTCCAGTGCTGAGTGGAGGAATGGACAGGGAAGTGGGCAGGCACAGCTGGCTCTGCCTTTAGATAGGCAGAGCCAGCTGTCACTCACGCAGCTGGGTGGATCTCAACAGCATTGTCAGGATCCGTCCATGTTGCGGCGATCTCAGTATACTGTGAGCTATAGCTCGCTATATACTGAGCTTTGGGTCACGGGAGGATGCTAGTATATGTCCTCCCATGACCCTAAAGAGAACTATGGGAAAAAAACACTTACCCCATAGTTCTGTTTTAAGTAAATCAACCCCAGAGTGCTAAAACCAAGATATCACCATGACAGCCAGGCAGCTACAGTAGTAATTTCAGAAGCAGAGGTCTCAAATAACAGGCTTCCTTTAACATATTTCCCTTAATGTACATAACTAGGCTATGACTACATCCTGTCACCCTGTTAAAAAAAACATACTGGCAGGATTAAAATGTAATTCAAAATATTTTACTGGAGGGGGGCTCTGAAAAACAAAAATTGTTGTGGTAATGCTAGTGACGGACTGCATGATATATATGCCATAAGGAAACCAACAATATACAAAAGTACAGTATCCAGTAACTCATCACATTTCAGCCATCCCAAATCAGACAGCAAAGTCAAATCTGATTGGCTGGCCTGGGTTACTAGACTTTGTACATTATCATATGTCATCTCACTGCATTATTTAACCAGGCCACTGGTGTCTGGGTGATGTTGGGTGATAGTAAAATTATTCAGTATGCAGGAGACAGACTGCACTTAATGCTTCTTCCATAACAAGTGTATATTATAAGATTTTTTTTAGGATGCATCTGATCAATATTCAGGAAGTGTTTAGTGAGATTCTTCTTTAATCTTAAAAATTCTCTGCAGATTAAATATTAAAAATTTAGCACGATGCCTTATAGCATTAAAATGGCGACAAGTTACTCCTCCATAAATTGCTTTGTGAATTATTACTACAATCGATCTATATTTTTGTAAATATACAAAACTGAATAAAAAAAACTTAAATTTAAAAAAACATTTTTAAAAAGAATATACTTATTTTTATTTTATTTTTATTGTAAGATGCAATAATATTTGACAGGAGGGGATGAGGAGGTGACATCATTTAATTATTTTTATAATGTCAGAGTACCTGAGCCGATTCAGGCTCCCATCCTACATCCTATATGGAGTCACGCTTACCATTCTGCGAGTAACTTTCTCCAGCTGTTTCTTCTGGGATGCCAGGCGAAAAATTCGCACTAAGATGATGATTCTCAAAGCTCGGAAAAAGTTCACCAGTCTAGGAGGAGATATGAATTTATTTCATCAGCATATTTTTGTACTATATAGCTGTGTCTCTAATGTGCAGTTTGATGGTCCCCAAAAAAACAATGCTTTGAACGCCAGGGCTTTAATATTTATCTATTTCCATATAGGATGTGTTATTTTTTTTCATTCACTGCAATATCCTGCTGCTACCCTCCACAACAGATATTACCAATGTGCTAGAACTGTAAAATCTAAGTCATATCCCAGCATTTTGTCATTAAACATGATTAGCAGTACCAGATATTTCCCATCCAAGTATAGACCACAATTACAGTACTGAGTTCTGGTGGAGCATAGGAAATAAATATTTCTTTCCTGTGCTCCTCACCTCCATCTAGTGGCCAAAATGTGGTATTTGTCTGATATCACATTTGACCACGAAATAAAATATACTAGTAACATTTGTTTTTGCCCACATTCACACAGAACAAATGTACATGTAGTTTTGCAGGATGAATGGCTCTGCAATTTTTTTTAGTAAATACACCACTAACTGTTTTCCTTCTTTTTTTTAAATTCTATATTTTCATACTTCCAAGAAGGACAAGTAATGAAAAAAACAAGAAATATCAAATATATAGAAACATACATATCCAAAAAAGTACAACAGGCTCACCCCAACGATTACCTCACATAACAATCTAACCAAGGGGAGCAGAGAGTGACAAACAAAGAGACTTCCCCTCTCTCCAAAACTCTGAAGAGGGGTATGGTCCACCAATCCACTCAAAAGAGCAGGGAACACTAGGAGTGAACATATCAGCTAAATGGGCTAACCAAGGAGCAGCAAAGAAAAAACAAATAGTTAGAACTGCCACACGAGCACAGAAGAAAGGAGACAAAAAGGAAGAAAGAAGGGAATAGAAGAAAACAGGGAGTGAAGGAGAGGAAGAGAGGAAGAAGGGAGAGTAGAAAAAGGAGAAAGGGAGAGGGTTGAGGATCGCCATGGGCAAGCAAACTATTCTTGAATGTGCCTCCCCTGATTTACATAAAGTGTAAAAAAAATTAAAGGGCCCCAAAATACTCTGCATGTAGTGCTTACAATAGATATAAGAACGTTCTTACTGTCATCATAAAAGGATTTGCAGAACAGTGCCAGAGAGACAACAATTATTCAACATTTGTATGTATTTTGAACATACATGAAGTGTGCCCTAGACTGAAAAAGTCAAGGACACGATGCAGATTAGGCAAACCAGCCACCGTATTAAACTACAATATCTAAAAAAATGGGCTGTTTACTGAGCCTTATTAATAACTCGAATGACTTATTAATAATCTGAAATGGCTTTCTCATACCTTGGAATATTGGTGGCTCCACTGAAATCTGTGAATGCGTAAATCAGGGTAACAATCAGCGTGACGACAACTATAGCAGCATCAAATATATTCAACTTCGAACTAAAGTACTTCTTAAATCTGAAAGAGAAACATTGGAAACAGCAAGATGATGTTTAATTTATTTTAAAACAGACATACAAGATTTCCAGTGAAGATGGACAAGAAAGAGAAGAGGACAACAGATGTGCTGACATGCCACACAATACAAGACACGTCCTGAAATGTGAGAATGGAGGAAATATGAGAAATGGAAAAGTCATTGTATCTGGGGTCCATCTTTTAAATAATTCAGTGACCTTCTATCATCGTCCTAATAAAAATGAGGTTATCTCTAATTCCTGTATTTAAATATGTGACTGATACTGGGAAACAGAAGTAGATGTATACGCAGAGTAATGTGTGTGAATATCTATCTATCTATCTATCTATCTATCTATCTATCTATCTATCTATCTATCTATCTATCTATCTATCTATCTATCTTCATATTTAAATAAACTGTTGCATGCTTATAATATGTTCATTCATTTAACAAGCATGTCCTATTTTGCTGTTCTGATATGCCTGCAATGCTCAGTAACAGCAGTCTCTATTTCCTTTTTCTGCTATAAGCTGGTGGCTTTCCCTTCTTGAAGGTTGCCCCTTATTATGAAGTAGGAATGCTGCACAAATTAAGGGAATCCCCATGTGTCTGAGCTGTCCCCTACATCCCCTGCATCTTCTACCTCTTCATTCCATGCACCCCTTTCTATTCATCCCACTGCACCCACCCCTTCAGCAACGTCTTTCTCTTATTGTACATCCCCTTCATCTCCCTCCCCTCTACATCCCTTGCATCCCTTTACATCCCATGTCTCCTGCTTCATCTCCTGAAAGTTCTTTCGCCTACATCCCCTACACTCCCTTCTCATTGTTTCCCTCATTCACTTTACCTTACATTCGCTGCATCCTTTTTTCCCCTACATCCCTAGTATCCCCTTTCCCTACTTTCCCTCTACCACCTTACCTTACATCACCTGCACCCCCTTTCCCTATCCTCCCTCTACTACTTCACCATTACATGCCCTGCACCTCATCCCCCACCAGCACACACACTTTTATGCTGATTTAGACCAGTTAGGTGATAGATGTCTGATTCTTCTGTTGCTTAGCCATCTCTGGACCTTTTTTGGAAGGGTTATATTTGGTTGATGTTTTTTTTTTTTACTTGCTCCTAGTTGATGGGACGATCAACGACAGGGCCTTGCAATCTGCTCTTTGCAGCCTTTATAAAGGGATTTGTATGTCCACTGTTGGAGGGCAGCTAGCCCAATAGTAGATGAAGTCCAATTTATTAGATAAACCTAAGACCAAGCAGTGTAATAACCAAGTGATTTGGATAGATGTTATTGTTTCTCCACGGCTAACCTAAAGTCTTAGAAACCCCCAAGGGCTGCAGCAGATATTACATGTGACATTAGCCAAAGGACTGAGAATCAGTCTAATTTATTTACCAATAATCCATGAGCATACCATAAACTGTATCAGCCCATTAGGCCCTTCTTTTCATGGTCTAGTTCACTTTGCTCTAGTGAGAAAAGAATTGCAATGCCATGATGCCATGTCTGTCACGTACCCTTCCACAAATATGTGTAGCAGGACATCTATGAGGAAGAAGATGGAAATGCCTAAGGAAATTCCTGATATGATAGTTGCTGTCTGAACACTTCTTTCCATAACCGACAGATCCACAATGACAAACACAAAATCCACCAAGATAAGCAGAACTCCAAACAAACTGAAATATAAATAATAATTATAATAATAATAATAGTAATAATAGTCATAATCTGTTTTTCTTTCTTAAGTGCACAGGTCAAATGACAGCTGGATTCTTAGGCCAGTTCACATATGAGCATCTCTTAAACGTATGTCAAATGCACACTTTCACGAAATGTGCACAAACACAAAACACACTTGTATTACCATTACTAGGTTATGGCACCCCAATTGCGTCACAGCGAACGCGTCTTTTTCTTGCGAGTTCATGCGCGTTCTCAAAAAAACTCAGAATACACGTCCCTGAATTTGCCACATGTACTTCTTTCCCGGGTTTGGCGCATGTCCAGTGACCAAATGGATATCAATGGAGACACTTCATTTTTACATTTTCTTTTTTGCTCTTACTCTTAGTGTTTCATAAAACATGTGCTTAAGCCATTATGTGTAACAGATTTCATAGCCAGCTTCTGAGTACACAAGACATCTATAGAAGAACAAGTTTATAAGGGTTGAAAAACAATATTGACATAACTAATGGACCAGGGCAGTTGAGCACTGAGCAGTACATTTTCTGGAACACATGGGGATGTGGTATTTACTTGTCTGTTTCCTTGGAGTAAAGCAATGTTTTTTATGTCCAACTTGTTATAAGTAAAATCAGGTAAAAAACAAAATCACTTCTGGGCAGAATCAAGGAGGAAAAATAATGTTGTCCTTTGAAATGTTGATCTCAAATACTGCCGCTGCTCCACCTGTCTACATTTAGTCTGTTTTGTCAACTGAAATGTATTCCACACCGGCACAGTGTCGTTTGGTGCAGCTTGAACAGGGCAGATGATCACAACAGTCTTCTTGGAAATTGATTGATCTGAACTTGCCGTCCTCACAGTCCTCTGTAATTATTTTACATGTAAGCAATAGTTTTTATTTATTTACCATTCCATCAGCCATGCACGGTAAAGACTATTTCTCTTCATGGTAAAACTTTATTATTTTTCCATTCTAAAGCATTATGTGGATCACAAAACTGTCCATATAAATAAATATTTCATAATATAATGTAAAATGAGGTTCTACAAAAAGAGAAAAAAGTGAACCCTCTGGGCAATCCATCTACTCTACTCAGTTCGTATGCAATCCAGATTTTAAGCAAAATGACCAATATTCTTCACACTTTCAGCATTATGTGAGGTAAAGGTCCATAAAAACATAGGTTCATAATGAGGAAATCATTACTCCAACATCATTTCAGGTACATACCTAATTTTTGTATAATTGTTATCCACTGCAAGAGGTCCTAGATTATACCAGATTGTATATTAAGAACATCATTTATACAAGTTTCAAAATGTGTGGTAATCATTGCCGCTGACCTCATAATTCACCATGCTCACACACATCCCCCCATACATATAGTGTCAGGATTACGGCTTCCATAGCTTTTCATGCATACCAGACAAAAGCCTAAATGATCAATATATAGTATGTGTTGTATAGTTTTCAAAAAATTAAATGTTTTGGATTGTATAGTTCCCAGAAGTTCCATTATATAGCAATGATTTAACAGTAGTATTGTCCTCAACTAAATAATCCAAAGAGCTACAAAGGTTTTAGGGATTTCAGCTGTTATATGTTATCTTAGTATATCCATGCATAAGTCCTTCCATAAGAGTATTGATGTGCAGTGACCAGGGGATAAGAAAAAATTGGGTGGGTCTTACCACAGAATGAAGAAGCAACTATTTTGGTATGAGCAACTCCCAAAGCGTCTATGGAAGACATAAAACCCAGGATGTAAGCAAGGTGGCAAGAAAATGTGCCCAGCGGTCCACTTAAACAACTACATTGTCCTGCAGTAGGGTCTTTATATGAATTTCTTCTATTTCTATTTATTAATTGTAAAAAATGACAGTGACAAGAAACAGCCTCACTTGCCATTTATTATTATGTTAGCCCCACAACATATTCTAAATGCCGAGGGGTGTCCCAAGTCTGCCGCTGCTGCCTAGTTTGCCTAGTGGCAGCCCTGTATATTCATCTTCAATACATTATTTCTCCCAAACCAGGATAGCGTATTCTTCAATTATTTGGCCAAGTCCCGACAGATTTGCTCAATGGACGGTCCCAATTTTAGTCCCTAGTTAGGTGGGATTTGTAGTTGTCCAGCGCACGGGAAAGGCCCCACGGAGAGTAGATAAAAGAGTTTGGGAGGTGGTAAGGTCGAGAACTTTCGACTTCTGCAAGTTGATCTTAAAATTTGAAAGAGCGCTATACTCCTCAAACTCGCGCATCAGATTGGGGAGAGATATTAAAGGTTTAGACACTATATAGAGTAGGTCATCTGAGTAACCGGCTAGTTTATGGGAGAGAGGTCAAGCTAAAAGGCCAGAAATATCGGGGTGTGCGCGAATCCGGCAGAGCAAGGGTTCCAGCGACAGGATAAATATCAATGGCGACAAGGGACATCCCTGTCTCATGCCATATGTCAGCAAGAAATAATCAGAATGTACTCTGTTAACTCTGACCCTAGCAGTCAGATGCGAGAATATGTTTGCTATTCATGTACACGTTATCTCCTAAGCAAATTTGTAAATACGTCCAATCCACTCTGTCAAATGCTTTTTCTACGTCTGTAGACAACAGAATGGTGGGGATGCAGTAGCAGACCATTTAGGAGTCTGCTACTGCAGGATGGGCTGAAATATCCGGTACCCATCCAGTGTCCCTGAGTGCCGAGCCTGGTACTGGGGACTGCATTGAAGAAGCCATGGAGTAAAATGGGAGCATCAATAAGTCCATGTGTGTGTACAGTGGAACCGTGGTAACCAAACTATGACCTTCAGAGGTTGGTTAGGGTGGGCAGCTGAGCCATCTATATACAGTATTTACATCTGAGGTCTGGAATGTAATTTGCACTTTATATCAGGAATGCAAGGACAGACATCACTACCCTGGTGTATAATCCCTACAAAGTATTCATTTAAATGATCTGATTATGTGCCACACAATAGCATCTGCAAGAATAGCAGGCACCATCATGATGAGTTTGCATTCCCAAAAATACATATTACAATCAAAATCTTACTTACAAACACTTCTAAGAACATGCTTAAAAGAATAAATGATCATGTGCCATATTTTTCTTTGTTTTTACAAAACGTTAAGCTAACTCAAAATAAACACTTCATGTGACAGGTATTTCTCAAATACCTATGAAAAGTGCATGCGTTTTATGACAATACGGTATTTTCAATCATTTTTGTTTTTATCTCTTAGAGGTTGTTCTTTAGCTGAAGTCATTGCCAAGAGCAGATTTATGTTATGGGAGCCTAGAGACATACAACACTTATGGAAATGACGACGGTCACCAGGGCCCTCTTCCTCCTGTCCAGGCTGTGATTTGTATTCTCTCTACAGCTTGGAGTCTGCACCAGGGTCCCGCTGCAGCTTAGATCCTGGTAAATCTGCCACTGACTCCAAGTTGTAGAGAGACTACAAATCTAAGCAATACATTATACAGCAATGTAGAATACCACCAACTATATAGGACTACACATCCCAGCAATACAGTGTTAAGTACCGCAGAATAATACCATGAGCTATAGAGAACTGCAAATCCCAGCAATACATTATACAGCAATGCAGAATTCTATGTAGCTACATACTCTGTGTTGCTCCGTGTTTATGGCCTGATATCTCCAGGGTCTCAGGAGGGCTGTCTGGGGTTTCAGAGAGGGCTGTGCAGGCTCTCAGGGGGCTGCTCAGGCTCTAAAGTGGCCAGTACAGGCTCTCTGGTGGTCAGTACGGCTCTCAGGGGGCCAGTGCAGGCTCTCTGGTGGTCAGTATGGCTCTCAGGGGGCCAATGCGGGGCTCTGGCAGTCACTGGGGCTCTGGCTCTGCAGAAGACACATGGCACTAGTGTATTCTTCATAGGTGTATATTAATAACAAAGAGGCAGGTGACAATAGTATAGCCTGTCATAGCCTTGCGAGAGGTGGGGGAGACCTCCCCACAAAGGTAACAAAGAACGCAGACTCTATGGTTAATTACACCTGCATCTGAGACTGAGTTACTCTTTGTCTAGCTACAATAACATTATTTCCTACCTGAATCCAAATGACATCACAAATGGAGCGATCACTTTCTTTAGTTTGCTGGAAAATAAACAAAGAAGTCCCTTTTTTTACACAGTAAATCCCATAGGCAGTCCAGCACTGACACTTCAGTAAACCAAGATATGAAGGAGAATATGTGTTCTCATCTGTATAGCATAATCACATTTCTAATGGTTATACATCAAACCTAAAGTTAACGAAACATCATTCTTATCATGAATATGAAGCATTCATGCAGCTGGTGTGTGAATAGGGAAGAAATAATTAGAAAATAAATATATGAAATAAAAGGTATAGAGGGACTTTTAAAAAATGTAATTTGAAGAGTTATGGCCAGTGGCAGAGGGCCCCTTAGGAGCATTATCCCTAGTAATAGAATCCATTTCCACCAGCTTGTGAGGTACAACTCTACTGAGCTTTATTTGGGTGTAGTTAAAGCCAACAATGCTTTCAGAAATGCATGATGCAATTGATCATCTCTATGGGTCCTTGTCAAAAAGATGACAGATCCCTGGGCAAGGGCAGTATAGAGACTGACTGAATAAGGCTAGGTTCACACCTGCACTACACCCGACACGCGCGTCCCGGGATCGCGTGGTCCTGCACAATGCAGGTAGCAATTGCCGCACGGCCCCATTGATTTCATTGGGGTTACATCCGCTCGGTAATCGCAGAAAAAGGGTACATGTACCTTTTTTTTTTGCGATACACGACGTGCGGCTGTTTTAACCGTGCAATCCGCCCAGCATGACTGGGGTGCCATTAGAAAATAATGGCACCCACAGCGCGGTCGGTTGACACCTTGGCGACTCCTGACTGCGTGGCAATCCGTCCGGAATTGTGCTTGATTGCCGCGCGGTGAAGTGTTGTCTAGGTGTGAACCTAGCCTAAAAGACACTTTCACTTTATAAACAAAGTGTAAAAAGAAAAAAGAAAATGGAGAAGAAAATTGTAAATAAGTCTGATGAGTTCTTTGGAATATAAATTATTGTATAATTGTGGTAAACACTGGAAGACTTATGTAAAACATATTCCCAATGGCAGTCCATGCCATTCAGTGGCCACCTTCCAGAGCAATACAATCAGATACTTGGGAGAGCAGGGGTGGGCAACTCCGGCCCTGTAGCTGTTGTGGAACTACAAGTCGCATGAGGCTTTGCAAGACTGACAGTTACAGGTATGGCTTCTAAAGGCAGAGGCATGTTGGGATTTGTAGTAAAAGCACAGCTGGAGGGCTGGAGTTGCCCACCCCTGTGGTAGACAATCCTTTTAACACATAAAACCCAAGCACAGGCCAAAAAAGCTAACATATTAAAAAGAGTCCCCCCCCAGCAGTATTTATTTATAGTGATAAGGTGTGCAGCAGAAAATGATTTCTTATTCCAGTTTCTGTGTTTTTACTGTTCCAGTGTTTATTATGCATCTGTCCTGCTCTTTTCTCTGAATACAACTAGCTGCTCCCAAAGGTTGGCCTGTCTACACTCCTTTCAGGTTTGGTATCCAACAGCTTATGCCCGCACAGTGCCAACATCTCTTGCAAGGCCTCTTTCACAACACTTACTTGGTCCATGTTGCTGGCTCCTCTGCATCGTTCTTCCCATCATCTATTTGAACTTTTACTTCAGATTTAGCAAACCTGTTTATAAAAAAAAGAAGAAGAAATAGTTATCAGTAATACATGTCATACCTTGCTTATAAGAGAATGCAGACGCCCACTTTGCAAACAAAAAGAAAATCACTTAGAGGGCAGTATCCCCTCAGATGTCCTCCAACTGGTATCAGCAACACCACTGCCATTACTTCCTGTGATGTAACCAGCACCAATGGACCCACCTACTTAAAATAGTTAATCATCAAAACTGTTAGTAATGTAAAAAATGCATATTTATGTGGCACAACGCTTATGGCATGCATTTTAATTAACACAAACATACACTATATTGCCAAAAGTATTGGGACGCCTGCCTTTACACCCACATGAACTTTAATGGCATCACAGTGTTAGTCTGTAGGGTTCAATATTGAGTTGGCCCACCCTTTGCAGCTACAGCTTCACCTCTTCTGGGAAGGCGTCCACAAGGTTTAGGAGTGTGTCTTTGGGAATCTTTGACCATTCTTCCAGAAGCGCATTTGTGAGGTCAGGTACTGATGTTGGACGAGAAGGCCTGTCTGGCAGTCTCCGCTCTAATTCATCTTAAAGGTGTTCTATCGGGTTGAGGTCAGGACTCTGTGCAGGCCAGTCAAGTTCCTCCACCCCAAACTCGCTCATCCATGTCTTTATGGACCTTGCTTTGTGCACTGGTGCACAGTCATGTTGGAACAGGAAGGGGACATCCCCAAACTGTTCCCACAAAGTTGGGAGCATGAAATTGTCCAAAATGTCTTGGTATGCTGATGTATTAAGAGTTTCCCTCACTGGAACTAAGGGGCCAAGTCCAACCCCTGAAAAACAACCCGACACCATAATCACCCCCTCCACCAAACTTTACACTTGGCACAATGCAGTCAGGCAAGTACCGTTCTCCTCGCAACCGCCGAATCCAGACACATCCATCGGATTGTCAGACAGAGAAGCGTGATTTATCACTCCAGGGAACACGTCTCCACTTCTCTAGAGTCCAGTGGCGGCGTGCTTTACACCACTGCATCCGATGCTTTGCATTGCACTTGGTAATGTAAGGCTTGGATGCAGCTGCTCGGCCATGGAAACCCATTCCATGAAGCTCTCTATGCACTGTTGTTGTGCCAATGTAATGGCCGCACAAAGTTTGGAGGTCTGTAGCTATTGACTCTGCAGACAGTTGGCGACTTCAGTGCACTGTGCGCTTCAGCATGCGCTGACCCTGCTCTGTCATTTTATGTGGCCTACCACTTGGTAGCTGAGTTTCTGTTGTTCCCAGTTGCTTCCACTTTGTTATATTACCACTGACAGTTGTCCGTGGAATATTTAGTAGCAAGGAAATTTAGTGGATGGACTTATTGCCACAATATAGTGTATCTGTGAAATTAATGAATACATTGCCATAGGTAATAACACTTTCATCCACCCTGTGAGTCAACTTATTGGACGGAAGCTACTTTTGTTCTCCATCACGGGAGCGAGCTTGGAGTGGTGGCTACTTTACAACACACACCAGGACCATGGGGAACAAAAGTAGCCACCCTCCAGAAGGAAGAACAATGTCAGTATGAATTCAGAGATTTCAGAAAAATGTAGTTAATTGTAAAAATGCATTTTTAAGATTTAACTCCTGAGTTTAGTGTCACTTTAAACAAGCCTGTAGAAATGTGAATTATCACTAAAGCTTACTATGCTGACATGTAATATTTGAGACCTCTGACAGAGATAAGCAAAACCCATCAAATGAAATAACGACTAAGAGGTAAAAAAAATGTCAACACATCAATATTTATAGTCAATAATGAATATTTCAACACTGTTTTCTTAAGGGATTGGTGTCTTATCTGTTTACACACTAAACTTGAGTACTTTATAGGCTTCCCGACATAAAGATTCAGACTGATTACCTGTCAGGCCAACTAAGTATCTTGTATTGGAAGTGCTTTGTTTTCGAGGTTAAAGTCCTACTCCAGACAAACCTTGTTTTAGTTTTGGACAGAATACAGAAGCGATATATGATCCTGTGTCAGGTTTTTGTTGCTCTGTTACAAAGGTATACACTTACTTCCTGTCCTGGTCACAGATGGTCATAGGGACAGAAAATATAAGACTTACTCTCTAAAAGGTGACAAATATTTCTAGTAGACCTCGTCCAGGTTTCTATCGCTCTCAAAAGTGAGATCCTTGGCCTGGAGGCCCAACACCATCCTACCATTGCAACTACAATGTAATTATTGTGTTTGGTTACAATATACCTTGAAGTTTTAAGGAGTGGAGCCTATTACATTTGGCTTGAAACCAAGTTGTATATGATGGGAAAAGAATCGCTGCAAATGGATCTCCATGTTTGGGTATTTTTGGCAAGGTAATGAATTTCCAGTGCTGGAAGTAGTTTTTTAATATACCACATGTATACAGGTATATGATAGGGTGATTGGCTATATGTTTGTTCTGTGCGAATAGAGGCTAAAACAAAAGTTTTTGGTATATTTTCTTCTCTGTCAAATGTAATTGAATACCACATTATGGCCACTAGATGGAGCTGTGGAGCAAAGGAAATAAGTATTTATTAGTCAGTGCTTGGCTTTTGGAAGAGATTGGTGATATTCTGAAGATATTTAACAAACTATTCAGCCTAATCTGCTATTCATGCCATAGTGACAGGTAAACATTACAGATGGACCCTAGACTGAAGAAAATCTTAAGCACGACTGTTACAGATTACAGTTATACTGTCTAGTGGAAGAAGCACCCTCAAACCTGCCTTCTTGTCAAAGATGCCCTTATTTCAGCAAATTAACATTTATTCTCAGTGTCACATTGGGGCTTAACAGCTTTGCTATGATAGAAGAATAGGGATGGGCTGGATGTTCGAGTCGAACGGGAGTTCAACTAGAACATTGCTAGTTTGTGTGTTCTCCAAACCAAGGACGTGCAGTCAGGGGAGGCAGGTGAGGCAGTGCCTCACCTAGTATTATGGAGGATAAAGCTCTCCATTCAGCTATCCATTCAAGCTTTTTCTCCATTCGGACCAGCTTGTAACAGGTTACAGAGCAGGGAAAGCCTCCCCGCTGTGTAACCTGTCATGGACGGACCGCTGCCTGTTAATTACAGGTGGCGCTGCATCCGGCTTTTGACAGGTAGTTAGGTTACACATCTGCGGGCTTCCCCACTGCTTGTGTAACCTAACAAGTGAGGCCAGAGCTGTCACAGCCTCTATTCTTTGTTAGAGGCGTGAGCTCTGTGGATGGTTTGGACCAATGGCAAAACGCCATTGGTCCAAGCTGTCCAATCAAAAAAAGAAAGAAAAAAACACTGAGGCCATCGATCTCGATGCTTCAACAGTGACGAGCAAGGGAGGGACAGGGAGCTCCTCCCTGTCTCCTCCCTTACTGCCTCAAACTAGCTTGTTGACCGAGTCGGGGGCAGGGCTTCGGCTGGCGGGGATGGGGAATACCTCACCCAAATCTGAAGGTACCGCACGTCACTCCTCCAAAAACACGAACTATCAGGGCGTTCAGCGGGCTGTTCGTCCCGCTGAATGCCCTACAAGGCAATGTGCCTTGTGAAGCTGTAATTGGCTGAAGGCCAGGGCACATATAACTTTAAGAGCCATGATTAGGCAAAGTCATGATGACTTTGCCCAATCATGGCTCATTTGTCAGATGACGTAAAACTGTACACAGTTGGACGGAGCTAGCTGTCACCGCTAGCTGCCCCCAATTGTTTATATGTTCACCAAACATAAGACCAAAGAAACCAAAGAAACCGCAAAATTACTCATCCCCTCGCTTGTTATATCTCGTCTTGACTATTGCAACTCCCTCCTCATTGGCCTTCCACTACACAGGCTATCCCCCTTCAGTCTATCATGAATGCAGCTGCCAGACTCATTCACCTAACCAACCGTTCAGTGTCTGCAACCCCCCTCTGCCGATCCCTACACTGGCTTCTACTCGGCCAAAGGATAAAATTCAAAATATTAACAATCAGTTACAAAGCCATCCACAACTCTGCCCCTGGCTATATCTCAAACCTGGTCTCAAAGTATCACCCTAACCATCCCCTCCGCTCATCCATTGACCTCCTGCTTTCCAGCTCCCTTGTCAACTCCTCCCATGGTCGCCTCCAGGACTTCTCTAGAGTTTCTCCCATCCTATGGAATTCTTTACCCCAACCTGTCCGTCTGTCGCCCACCTTGACTGCCTTTAGGCATTTCCTAAATACTCATCTCTTCAGGGAAGCCTATCCCACCTCAACCTAACCGCTCAACCATCACATTCTCAAACGATTCATCCCCAAGCAGCTCCCTCCTCATGTATCAATTCCCCCTCCCTTTAGATTGTAAGCCCTCACAGGCAAGACCCTCCTTACCATCTTGTCTTGATTTGTATTGTGACTGTAATGTCTTCCTTATATTGTAAAGCGCTGTGCAAACTGTTGGCGCTATATAAATCCTGTATAATAATAATAATGTTGCCGGCATCTGTCAAAATGCCATTCCCCCCTTACTCATTCACTGGGGGGCCGCATCTGGGTGCCCCTTTATTAGGGGTACCCTGATGTGAAAAAGCCCCCTGCCCCCAACCCTAGGGCTTGTGGGGAAGAGCCCCTTGTCCCCATCGGCACAGGGACAAGGTGCTTTTCCATGGGCGACTCTGGAAAAGCACCCTCCCAATGCTGAGGGCATGTGGCCTGGTATGGGAGGAAGGAGGGTGCCCGCTCGCTCGCCCCTCCCCCTTTCCGGCCCTGCCAGGCCTATCCTCGGATCAAGGGTCTGATACAGAAATTTTAGGGGGGACACAACTTATTTTTTCCTCCCATTTTGGGGGGTAGGGTCCCTCCTAACATTCCTACCAGACCTAAAGGGTCTGGTATTGTTTAGGAGGGGGAACTACACACTAAAAAAAAAGGAAAAACATTTCATTTTTTTTTTTATTTGAAAATGGTGTATGTGATCACAGACCTAATATATAAGAATACAGTATATGCTACAGAAAAACGGTGGTGCCCCCCTGACCCCAGAGGCCCAAGGTGGACCCCCAAAGGCAGGGAAGGCCGACATTTCACTTTCAGGGGCAGATCCTTACCAGTGAAGGACATGTAATCAACAAAGTTGGGTGCCAGTCACTTTAACCCTTTCGCTGCCAAGCCCTCCGGAACATTTTTCAAATCAGCTGGCCAAGAAATTTTTGAATTTTCTGCAATTTTTTCCTATTGGTTTGATTTTCAACTACTTTTTAGAATGCTTTGTTGCAAAACCGCATAACTGGGAGAGTGGGTATAGGGCTTCAGACATCCATAGCAATAATAGGACCTACTCCAGACTCACCAATCCCTTCCTACTTCCCCAGTACAGAATTATTGAGAGAACAGGCTGACATTGGGTAATAGAGCAACAGCTGAATAGGGATATGCATGAGATCTTCCATGGGAGAGACACCAGACTGGTTCCTGAGGTCCATATCAACTCCTGGTACCTACATCAGTCATAGGGCTTCTCTGGTTCTTATCCCCAGATAGTTCCAGACCCCATCTGGTTCCACATGTGGCTTCCTCCAGGCTTGAGGCCGAGTCAGCTTCTCCAACCATGTACATCCCACCCCAAGGGTAGGCATAGGGGTGGACTGCCCTGAGCACATGGCAATTCCTGAGTACTTATGCACTTTACCGGCATGCACCACTGGCCCTGAAACCCCCAGTGATTGGCTCGTGAGACATAGACACTCCTGATAATTCTCTATTGGCTGTCCCACACTGTAGCAGGATCACATCCCACTCAGGCAGGTACAATCAACAGCAGAACACCTATAATTAACCAGATAAAAACCAACTACAAATCAGCTAGACTGATTACAACACTAGCAAAGCTACATTTCTAGTAGCCACGCCACTGAAGGGGGTAGGGGCTACACTAGCTTTTTCTAAAAGCTGTAGGAATTAACTGAACTCATCCATTTGCTTTCCATTACAATACTTTATCTGTATGACAGAACCATTAGTTGTCTCAGTACTCAATTCTCTCATAGTTGAGGAGACCCCTCTGTGGGAGTAATACTAAAGTCCCACAAACACTTAGGGCCAGTTCACACCAATTGCGATGCGTTCAAGAGCGAAATCTGCTGGAACAAACAGTAATCGCACACTAAACTCCCCTCTTCCTTCTAGGGTGGGAGGGGGCATAGTGGTGCATTGAAGTCAATGGCACCGCAGCCACACCCCCACCCACAGTGGGCGATCGGGCACATGGTAAAACATTGCCTGTGTTCCGTTCCATTTTGAACGCAAGAAAATGCTGCATGCTGTGACACTAAACTCAGGAGTTAAATCTTAAAAATGCATTAAAGTACCTTATCTCTTATCAAAAATGTATCTTATTTGTGTATCACTCGGCCATAGACCCTCAAATCATCTCTGAATTTGTGCTGACACCGTCCTTAATTCTGGAGGGGCGCTAAATAAAAAACAGATAAGTGACATTTTTGGTACTTGAATGCATTTTTAAGATTTAACTCCTGTTTTTAGTGTCACTTTAAGCCCATGTTCATGTCAGCTCAGAGCATCTCAAATATAATCACTCCATACCACCAACCCCATCAGGCATTTTCAATGTACACTAAACAGTTGCCTTCAGATGGCCAATCCAAAGTTTACATATCATGCTGTATCAGCTAAAAATGCACTAGGAAATACAATAAAGTTACATCCAGATACTTGAACAAAGTCCAATGTGCACCAGGGGCAGAGGCCATGGGCTAAGAATATGGAATTCCCGGCCAAAAAAAATTTGTTCCGACATTTATTCAAATGCATATTTGTACAACTAACAACTTGACTTGTTAATGCAGCTCTAGTCTCTACATGTCCATTTGATGTTGCTCTAAGATCAGTAGGAAAGTTATATTTTTCATTTGAAAGGCTGTGGCTCTTGGAAAATAGAAAAGTGTTGGTAAGTTCAAAAATGTGACTAGGTGCATATTTATAAGGCAATGAATCTGACATTCACCAAACATTCAATGCACGTGAAACTTCCTGATGCATGTGATTTAAATGAGAGTGATTAACTGACCTCCAGTGAATGTTTGCTGAAAGTCAAATACACTGCTTTATAAATATGCCCCTTAGTGTCTTGTGTTAAGATGCAACAGTCCCTACTTGTACTTTTTTTGGAGCCCACAAACAAGAAACTCTGAGATGATAAATGAAGGTGAGAGCTTTAGGTCTATTTTGTTGATAAATCTTTCTAGTCAGTACTATCCAATGGTTTTAAGCTGTAATTAGCAATGTAGAAATGATGGAGACGGCACTTATGATGATATTTTTTCCCCCCACATTTTGCTAGTCTTTTTGCCTTTTTATCTGGTTTCCTTATTTTAAGAACTCATTTCATTTGAATTGAGATACAGTCATAAAATGGTAAGAGAAACATTTTGTAATAAGATATTAATAAACTTGAAGTAGCAGATCTGAGGACAGAACATGAGAGTAATTTTCTCGAAATGCTTGGCTTCTCTACAAATTTCTTCTTTCCCTATTTGCTTATTTGGTATCGCTGTTTCTTCCTAAAGGTTGCATACATAGATTTCCTGTCATTCTGCTCTAGCAATGCAATACATACAGGTACTGAAGATGACAGGCCAATCACAATGACCTTGCCTTATAGTCCATTTAGGCAAGTAAGTTAAACAGTAGACCATAGGGTGAAAGATTTATATTTTGTATTCATTGTAAGCACATATCATACTTGCATTCTAAATAAGAAAGGAAGCTCACATTAAGAGATGACTTGCAAACATGTTGAGCACAGATTGTTCTTGGTGCAAGATGTACACCTTATCTTAACCAAACCTATAATTCTTCATCACTTGTGTCTCAACGACACCATTATGGATATATACTGCAAACTTCCACAAGTGTCAAGTCTTTATATGACTCAAAATGATGTCAGAGCATTAAGAGCAGAAACAGTTTGAAAGGCTTTAATCAGCTTTTAAGCCCTGGCAGAACATACACATGAGCTCAAACCTACAAGAACTGACTATTCTTGGATTATGATTCTAACATGACATCACTACAGCTTTAGTATGATGATGCCATCTTTTTTTTAACCAACAAGCAATGTCCAAGTATTCACTCTGTGGTATCCGAAAGTGTTGGTGTGCATGGGCAGGAGTCTCTAATCTGTCTGCAGTGGAATAGTTGGAGGCTAAATGATCGCCCTTCTGCAAGCACAAAGAATATGGAACTATTCAGGTTGCATCCAACTCTGAAGGCATTAGAGCCATTGCTGTGCAATGCAGGGTTACACCACTGCACATGTAAGAATCTAAACCTGTGGTGTGCCTGTATATTTGGCCTTGGTTTGTGTTATTTGTGTTACAGAATGCTGTGGGAAGGTCCTTTTCTTATTAGTATAATTATTTTGGACAGAGGGTAGCTTTTCAACTTCATGTTGGCCTTTTAACCTGTGTTCTTATTTGTGTGTAAACAGTGGGTATTATCAGATATACAAAAAAGTTACTAAGAAAAGACAATTCTGTTTGTAATACAGATGAGTTTGCCATATGTGTTAATGTCTAGCCCACTCTGCTTAAAAATTATCCTAGATGATCACTCACCCATTAACATCAGTGTCCTCTGCCTTGGGATCAAATCTCACGCTGGACATCTTGTCAATGATTTCATGAGCTGAAATAGAGACAGTTTTTAACCAAGTGAAATCACTTTGAAAATTGACAGCTAGAAAGTACATAATACACTTTACCAGTCAATGATAAACTTCTAAAAAAACACTTTCAAATTTCATAATGAACATAACAAAACATGCTTGGGATTGTTTCCATATGGGGGATCGGGGGGGAGGCTATAAAGGCCTGATTCTTTCAAAAAGGGGGCCAGTTAAAAAAATTTCAGCCAATGGAAGATTGTGAAAGTGCTTACGCTTCAACCTTCTATTAATTGGATGCCAAGAGACATTTTAAGATTTTTCAGATTGATCATTGTGTATGTAATCTCTACAGCATTGTTTTTTTTTTGTTTGTTTAAAACTCCCTGCAAAGGAAAAAAACATAGGCAACTATATTATATATATTTTATATATGCAGGTCCCCTTTTGCCATGTTTGTCGTGTGGCCTCTTTTAAGTTTTACCCTTCTGCAAATTGATGAATTCCATATAATTAAATTGCAGCATTGTGCAATTAAACGTAATGTTCAATTCACAATCCTGCAATTTAACACTACAAACCAAGGAGACAGTGGTGATCCTCTGGAATGTAGAAGCTGCCTGTCCAGTAGTCAGACTCTAGTATACCAACTCTTTCACATAATAAATGGCCAGTCACACCAATACCCTGCTTCCCCCGAAAATAAGACCTACCCCGAAAATAAGACCTAGTACTATTTTTGGGAATTGCTAAAATATAAGACCTACCCCGAAAACAAGACCTAGTTGTGACCATTTCCCAGGCCGGTGGTGGCATAAGGTGGAACTTTAAGAACCGCAGGAGAGAATCAGCGGTGCCAACTAAGCCAGCGCTAGAGGAAGCGAGGAGGCACCGGAGGGAGCAGAGCCGCATAAGCTGATGCCTCCTCTATAGTGCCGGCTTCTGTCACAGACGGAGTGATGCCAAATGCACTCTGCCTGTGAGGAATCAATAGTGAAAGCGCGCTTCGCTCATTCTGGCCAGCGATTGGTTAGCAAATTGATCTTGGAAAGGTATGGCGCCCCTGATTGCCCTGATCACCATATTTTTGTACATGAATAAGTGTGGATTGTTGTACATTAAAAAAAAAAAGACCTACCCCGAAAATAAGACCTAGTGTGTTTTTTTGAGCCAAAAAAATATATAAGACAGTGTCTTATTTTCGGGGAAACAAACCTTGCGGGTCCATTCCTTTTATCCCACTTCTTTCCAATATTCAATCGTTTTAATTATTAATCTTTTTTCTCATGGAGTGCACCGCGTCTGGCATCGTAAAAAAACTACTAGACTAAGAATGTAGCCTATAACACTGCTTTTAAAAAGGGACCCCGCTTAGAAACATTTAGGGGGTTATTCACTAAGCTGCCGGAGGATTTAGCCAAATGTTTGTCAGAAAATGTCTTTTGTTTTTTTGTTCAATTTAGGATTTGTTCACGGTGTTGTGTTTTTATTTACTTGTTACTTAACTCTTTGGTGAATGAGTAGGGTTAACAACTAAACCCTTACACATTCACAAGGTGGCGGCAGCATCTGGATGCTCCCTTTATGAAAGGGAGTACCCAGATGCAGATGAGCCCCCCTACCCGCAGACCCCCACAACCACCGGGCCAGGGTTGTGGGGAAGAGGCCCTTGTCCTCATTGGCATGCAAAAGCACCTTCCCTGTCGAGGGCCTGTGGCCTGGTATGGTGCAGGAAGGGGGGGCTCGCTCATCCATCCCTCTTTCTGTAATAATCGCCCCGGACCGGGTCTTCTTATCGAATATGGATCACAACTGCGGTGTCTGGGTAAGGGTATCAGAGTAACAGCTGCCCTCACGTGCCCCGTTTTTGTATGAGACTGAGAGGGAGCTGCTTCACATAATTTCCCCGCTGGGGTTAAGGGAGCCGAGTAGACACAGTTATACCTGGTTAATCACAGCAGTGGGTATAACCAGTATGAGGTAAACAGTATGGCAATGGTCTGGTTGCATGAGATGAGCAGTACTGCAATGGTTAAGTTCAGCATGAGATGAGAAGTACTGCAATGGTTAAGTTCAGCATGAGATGAGAAACACAGCAGTGGCTAATCGGTATGAGATGAGCAATACAGCATTTGTATAACTAACAATACAGCATTTGGCTAAATCACCATGAGATGAGCAGTATGGCAATTTGATAAGTTAACATGAGGAGAACAGTACAGCAGTTGTTTAACTAGTAGTAGCTGAGAGTATTCCTGTCTGGTCTGTGAGACCTGGAGCCAGCTTGTGCTCTTTCTACAGATACTTGCTGTTCTGCTGGAGTTCGTGGCAGAGTGACACAGGCTGGAGCTGGCTTGAGGCAGGGACACGGGTTGGAGCCTGCTGTGTTGCGGCAGTGACACGGCTTGCTGAGGTCCAGGGAGCGTGTGGCGTGCTGAGTTGATCAGCGTCCACCTACATCAATAGTGGGACGCCGATCAACTAACGAGCGGCGGCTTTAAGCCGAGCGCTCGCTCTAGAGGGGGCGGAGCTACGGGGCGCGCCTGCGCAGGACGCATCTCCCGGCAGAGAGAGAGGCGCCGGCGATCGATAACGCGCCTGCGCAGCACGATTCCGGGCACTGACACCAGGAGCCGTCACCCGATGTGTGCGACCCGAGGAGGAGAGGACCCGACGTGTATGCACAGGCCCGCGACGGACGGCGGCACCGGACCTCACCGGGGTACGACCATTACACTTTCCTGCTCTGCCAGGCCACTGCTTGGATTAAGGGTCTGGTATAGCATTTTAGGGGGCACCCCACTTTTTCCCGATTTTTGGCAGTTGGGGTCCCCCTTAAAAATCCTACCATACTTAAAGGGTCTTGTATGACCTTGTAGGGGAACCCCACCATTTTTTTTATTTTACATTGGGGGATCCTCCTAACATTCCTACCAAGCCTAAAGGGTCTGGTAAATTTGGGAAGGGGACCCCACGCTGTTTTGTTTTTGTTTACAGTGAAATTTTTCATTCTGTACGCTACCTCCCCAGATAGCAAGGATAACTTGCCACAAACTTGTGATAGGGTTAAATTGTAATTCTTGTTAACTTGCTGCACACATTCCTGGCAAGTTGTAGACTTGCAGAACACTTGCAGTACAAGTTCTAGTTTGACACTTTTTGAATTTGTAGCAAATTTGCTTGGCAAGTCTACAGGAACAGTCCTGCAGGTCTTAGCAAGAGCTCTGCAAGCCCTCTGGTCTGGAGACTTGCAATTTTCAAACTTGCAGCAAAATTGCTTGCTATCTGGGTCTGAGGTAGCGAACAGAATGACCGAGCCAAATGCTGAGCTGACAGTTCAGCAATTCACTTTCCGCTGTTCGTCACCCTTTGAGAATAGCAGTGAACAGCAGGGATTTAACTGCCGAACGTTGACCTCAGCTAATCCAGATGTTGCAACGGCGAATGCGTTCTTCCCTTCGGTTTGGTCTAACGTGCTGAGGCTGTTCAGCCGAACCGAAGTGAGGTGAAGCGGGCCTAATGCAGCCAATGTACGGCTAAAAATAGCCATATAGTGCTGCAGTGAACAGCCGAAGAGGCTTTGGCTCACTTCACTTTGGTTCGGTTATTCATTCAGCTGCCTTCGGCGCCTTATTGAATAACCCCCTTAGTTAGTGTTAACAATGAAGTGACTTTAAATATCCAATTACTTAAAATTGGAGTGTTTTTGGAGCAAATGAAACTGTACACTAAATGTGGAGTGAAAATGATGGCATTTCTACTCAATGACACTATTCACATCACTCTCAATAAAGTGAGCCTAAGCTTTACTCACGCAGGGCATCTGAAAATGCTGGAGGCATTCCACTCCTTGCCAATTCATTCATTTAGAGTGTAGTACCATCTTACTTTTTCCGGCAGTCTAGTTTGGCCCTTTGAATTGGCATTGGCACTGCCTACATACAAACTTTGTTTATTACATCCATCAAATTTAACCTATAGTTCAACACAATCACTACATCTATTTAGCCTTGAAACACATAGAACCTATACACATGTTGAAAGGTGTCCAAAAATAGTTTCTACCATACTCACCATGATGATTAAAACAATGATGACATAACCTTGTATTCTGTTCTGAGTACTATATGAGTCATAACTCACATACATGTAACACCTGGTGTGAGGTTGGGGTTTTGTGGATCACAACTGCGGAGGCCAATCAGACGGAACCCTGGTTTCACTCCCAATCTTAACGGGGAGTTAGGGTTCAAGCATCACAGCCAAAATAAACAGAAGTAAAAGGATGGATGGGATTATTACTGCATAACCCCCATCAAATGTAACAATAATAGAAGATGTAAGGTTCAGGTTGTCAATTAGGTTAGTATCGATAACAGCTATGGTTTAGAGGTAAAGTTGTATTCTCCAAAAGGACCACTAGATGGAGCATGCAAGTTAATCCAGCTTCTCTGTACACACAGTTAGTTTAACTCAATGGAGAGCAATATGCCAGGGTACTTGCGGTTAAATGGAGTAGCAGAAGGAGCTGGGGGTCCAAGTGGAGTTCGTTGAAGGTCCTCTGTAGAAGGTAGCAGTGTTGGATGGTATGGGGGGTCCCAGGAGACAGCAGGCGTTCAGTCTTCAATATTGGAACGCCATACTGTCTCACTGGGGCGTTTATATAGGGCTAAGAGGCGGGGGGAGGAGCCGCCGAACGAGACGAAGCACTTCCGCGTGCCAAGGTGGAACGCACCCGCCGTCTGAACCCGGAAGCAGATGCGCGCGCACCCTGCCGGAACGCAGACGGCCCGTCCCGTGAGGCAGAACCCTGTACCCCCCGATTCCCAGGTGAGCGGTGACGGCGGTTGCCGTTACAATACATCACATACCTAACACAAGTAAAACTCCCTGTGTAATAATTATGAATGCTCTTAGCTGGCACAGCACTAATGAGTATGCATATAATATATAATAATCTTACATACAGTTGAAAGTAAATTAGTTCATGCAAAAAGCCTGTAAACATGAGTTCGCCAAATGT